CCCAATCACTGGTTCCTGAGCACCTCAGCCCTGGTCGGTCTCCTTCAGGAAAATCCTGGTTCAGAGAAACTTCCTGAAGCCGGTGAGGGTTGCACAGACCAGGCTGAGGGGCCGAGGGGTGGCTCAGGGGTCGACCGCTAGCCCCGCAGGTGCAAGGGCCTGGGTTCCAGCCGCAGCACCCCACCCCACCCGGGGACCAGGCAGGGACGTCCAGCCAATGACTCTCCCAGGGCGCTGGGCCCTTGCTCCTCTGAGACTCTTACCCCCCCCCCCCCCCCCCGATGCCTTTGATTGCTGGAACTGCAGACCCCTCTGTCCCCTGGGGACCACCCCAGCAGCAGGCCACCCTGCAAACGCACCTCTGGACCTGCGTCTGAGCTGAGGAGTGGAGGGGGCATCGGGCGAGGGGACCTTGGGAGTCAGAGTTTAGGACAACCTCTGATCATTGGAAACGGCTAATCCCTTGCTATAATTAGGAGGCCCCAGGCCAGGCTGCTCTGCTCTCCCAGGCTCGTGTTTTGAAGGTTTAAGAAACAGGAAGTGACTGTTTCGGAAGCCCAGAAGCTGGCTGGTGTCTTTGTAGCCGCCGACTCCAAGGGAAAGTCGCAAGTGGGAATACACTGGGGACGTGTACCTTCAAAGCGCATCCGTAGTTCCTGAAAAGCGCGGATTCATTATTAATGGCCACAGTCTTTCAGGTAATTTTTGTTGAACATAACAAAGCGGACAATTCCCAACTGTATGGCTCTGAGTTTACGTGAACTGAACACACCTTATGACCAGCCCCCCCAAAGTCCCCTCTCGGGGTCCCTCCCAACCCCTACGCCACTCCCCGAGGGGAGCCATCGCCCTGACTTGTAGCATCATCGTAGGTTGGTTTTATCAAACGTGCTTTGGGCCTTGATTCTGAGTTCTCAAATTCACATGGCCCTGGTGACCCCATAAGTATCTTTAATGCTAGAAGGGCCTGGGGGTGCCGTGGGTCCTTGTGCCCTCATGCAGGGACATTTGCCAATGTCTGTCAGACAAAGGCTCTGGGCTGGTAGGTCGGTGATTCGATCTTGCAAGAGAAGCTCAAGTGCAGACTTTTATGTGAGCCCATTATATCCCATGCATGAACAATTACGTCCAAACGAACCCCAACAGTGTGTGTAGCTCCAGTGCACGGAGAGAACGTTTTAAAAAATGAGATCTCATGGTTCTAGAATGTTGGCTGCGTGGAGGCCGGCCGCATCCTGGCCAAACAAAACACGCTTTGGGGGCCAGATTTGACCTTCAGACTGCCAGAGGGTGACTAGAGGGTCCCCAGGCCGTGGGAGACACAGGGGTGGGAGACAGCACAACTGGGCGATTCACTGAGATCCTGGTGGGAAGAGGGGCGACACACCGCAGGGACAGTTGGGGTAGAGGTGAGGGAAGGCTGTGTCTAGGAGAGGGATCTTCAGGGACACCTGAAGTCACCCAGGGAGAGAAGAGCCAGGCGTTCTAGGCAGAGGCAGGGGATCCAGTGGTTTTGACCTGAAGGACAATCGGAGGCCATTAGACTTGGGCGTGCTGGGCTGGCCCCTCTGGCAGCAGGTGCGGGGGCGGGGGAGGCCACCTGGGGTGGCCGGGTCACCGGAAGCTGTTGAAGGGACTTGACCTCTGCCAGTGGACCAGGAGGGCCATGGGCCCCAATTTCTGGCCTAGTGCACAAATCCCACCTCCCACAATCCCCTGTCCAGGCCCAAGGTCATTACCACGGTGTCCTTATCTGAGACAAACATTCTCCTGTGTCCAAGGGGCTTGCTGAGGAGTCTGGACGGGAGCCTAGAGGTGGCCCTAGAGGTGGCTCCACTCAGCTCCAGGTGGAAGGCCCAGCGTGGAATCAGACAGATTTGGGGTTTTCTTGGCAGGGGCTGTCTGTCGCTCGATGGCGAGGGCTCCCCTACCACCACAAGACCCCGAGGTCCATGGCCGGCAACGTAAAGTGAAAGAATTTGAATTTTCCCTGTCCCTGCCCCCTGCCACCAGGCCTGCATCCATCCCCGGAAACGTGGAGCGGAACGTGGCTGTCACCCCCGGGGTCCATCTTTGAGAAAATCCTGCTGGACCCACCTTTCAGACCGACTCGGATATTGGGGTGAAGCTCCGTGGGAGAGGGCTTACCTAGCACATTTGAGGTCCGTTCAATCCCAGGACCCCCCCCCCCAACACAATCCAGAACACCCAAGGTCACGGCCACCACCCTGGGCTGAGCCCTCGGCACCGCTCACCAGCCCCCTGCTGGCCTCTCATCTCCCACACAAGGGCCCCAAGTTAGAATTGGCCCCTCTCTGCCAGGACCCTCTGTGGGCTTCTGCCTCGCTCAGTAAATGCCACAGTCCTTACAATAGCTGCCCAGGCCTCTGTGGTCTGTCCCCAGCCCTGTCATCTCTCGGACTTCTTTCTTCTGCTCGGCCTCTTGCTCCCCGGGATCTGCTCACCCCATGGGGCTGGCGGGCTCTATCCTCAGGGCCTTTGCACATGCCGTCCGCCTGCCTGGAACCTTTTTTCCCTGGCAGATATCCTCAGGGCTCCCTCCCATACCTCCTTCAAGTCTTTGCTCCAATGTCACCTTCTCAACGAGGCCTTCCTCAAAGCTGTCACCCCCCTCTATCATTCCCTGCGGTATTTTCCTCTGTGGCCGGCCCTCAAGGCAGTCAAGATTCTTTATTGGGGGGTTCGGCAGTACTGGGTTTAAACCCAGGGGTGCTTAACCACGGAGCCCCATCCCCAGCCCTCTTTATTTTTTATTTTGAGACAGGATCTCACTAAGTAGCTCAGGGCCTCACTAAGTTGCTGAGGCTGGCCCTCAGACTTACAGTCCTCCTGCCTCAGCCTCTAGAGTGGCTGAGATTATGGGTGCGCACCCCATGCTCTGACCCCTGGGTATTTCTTCAGAGACTGGGTGATCCCTAAAGTCGAATTCCCTGGGCTTTCTTGGCTTTGTGCGCCCAGGATATGGTTCCTAATCGGAAGGGCATTGAGTCCTGCCACATATAACACCAACCACAGGCTTAAACCCACAGAAGCGACAGATTGAGGCACACATCCTGTGGACTGGCTTTCAAATGTGGACAGGCACTGGGGTGATGAATATTGCATGCCCATTTAGAAGGGCTGCTGGGTTCCTCGCAGCTATTTGGCCATGATACATCTTCTCTGTCAACCAACACCCCCTGCACCGTCATTATTACACAGAGGTCCTTCCAGCCCAAATAGTTGGGAACCCCTTGCCTGGGGCCAGAAGAGGGCTCTGATAAACAAGGCTAGAGATCTCTGGTCATCCTTCTTGCCGGTTCCTGCCAGGGACATTGCCCACAATGCTTTACTCTCACCTACCCCCAGGCAGAGTGGCAGCAGCAGACAGTGAGCATGGACCCCCCACAGGAGTGAGGCAGTTCATAATCCCGGTCACCTTGAGTTCTGCAAGTCCCGCCACTTGGCCAGCCGGGGGTAGTTGGAATGTTCAGCTTGGGCAGAATTCAAATCAGCCTTTGCAGTCAACATGTGGTTCATTGTCACATACCCTGGGCATTGGTCACTGTGCGAGGTGCCCTGGGGAGCTCAGAGAAAAATGCCCAACTCAGGGCCGAGGTAGGGACGGAGGTGTCACAGTTGGGCACTGGCACTTTGCACGAGCCATCTGAAGAGGCTTATCTAAGTTTGTCATCTGTCTTGGGTACAGATATTAATAACAGTGGCTAGAATTCAGTGCGTGATGGGCCAAGTGCTTTTGGGGGACATGATTTCAGCAGCAGACCCCTGTGATGTGCCTCTGGGGTGTATTCCTCCCCTTTTCATAGACATGGAAATTGATGCTCAGAGACAGCAAACCACTTGTTCCAAGTCACACAGCTGGTCAGGCCCTAGATTTGCCTGACCCCAGTCAGTACACTTGACCACTTGGACCCACCCTGACCTTGGAGATTCCAAGTTGGCAGTCAAGTTGCTTTGCCTCTGCAGGGCACCCTTTCTAGGTGTGGCAGGGGACCTCCTTAGGTCACGCTATGCAGGATCTCAAGCAGGGACAAGCCATGGGGTCCTGTTTTTCTTACCGTACACTTGGCACCTGTGTGCGCACCTCTTTGCCTTGAAGGAAGCCCAGGTGACAGCTTCCTCCTTAGAGGAGGCTGTTCCCAGACCCTGGAGGTGACCTAGGGCTACACAAACCTTCCAAACTCTGGGACCCAGCATTCCTGGTAGGGCACCGCTCCTGTCCTGCTTTGTGACTCCGGGTCCTACAGGTCCCTGGCTGTGGGAAGGCCGGTGTTCAGACCCTTTGGAGAACTCCCCTTTCGGTCTGGTGTGAGGTTCTTTTCCTGGGGTCGGGGGGGACTGCTGGTCCATGTCCCTGGTGGGCACCCACAGGCTCTGGCCTTATTTTTCACCCGCAGGGCCTCTCTGGGTCTGAGTGAGATGCCACCCCCTCCTACTCGGGTGCCCTGTTGTGTCACCCCATGTCCCCATGTCGATCCTGTCTTTGGGAGCGCCTTGCCTACAATTCTTGTTGCTCAGACTCTCCACTCGGGTGCGGGTCTCCCTCGGGGGCGGCCCTTCTCTCCCACTTCCCCGCCCGCGCCCGCCGCGGGGCGCCCCCTCTCCCGTGCGGGCGGGCGCCAGAACAGTGTCGCCGGCCGCCTGCAGGTGTCTCCCCACGGAGGGGCGCGCGTCCCTGCGCCGTGGCCGCTGCCAGGCGCCAGCAGCTCCTCGCCGAGGTGCACTCGCGCTCCGGGCTCCGGGCGCGCCGGGTCCGCTCCGCCGCTGCCGCCCGCCGCCCGCGCCCCCGGCGCGCTCCGCGTCCCCCGAGCCGCGCCCCCAGCCCGGGGGGGGGCATGGGCCCGCGCCGCGTCCACCGCCGCCGATCGCAGGCGCTCGAGCCCCGGGGCGCGGCGGGCAGCGGCCACTGACGCGGGGCGCCGGCTGCCAACTTCGCGCGCGGAGCTCCCCGGCGGCGCGGTCCCGGCGGCGCGGGCGGCATGAAGACGAGCCGCCGCGGCCGAGCGCTCCTGGCCGTGGCCCTGAACCTGCTGGCGCTGCTCTTCGCCACCACCGCCTTCCTCACCACGCACTGGTGCCAGGGCACGCAGCGGGTGCCCAAGCCCGGCTGCGGCCAGGGCGGGAGCGCCAACTGCCCCAACTCGGGCGCCAACGCCACGGCCAACGGCACCGCCGCCCCCGCCGCCGCCGCCGGGAGCGGCCCCCCTGGCGGCGCGCTCTACAGCTGGGAGACGGGCGACGACCGCTTCCTCCTGAGGAATTTCCACACCGGCATCTGGTACTCGTGCGAGGAGCAGCTCGGCGGGCCCGGTGAGTGCGCGGCGCCCGGCTCCGGCTCCGGGCGGTGCGGCCCCGGCCGCCGAGCCACAGCCGCGCTCCGCGCTCCGCGCTCCAGGCTGGCGAGGGGCCCCGCGGCCGGCCGCACGGACCCCGCGCCCCGCAGGGCTGGCCGAGCGCTCGGCGGGGACGCGCCTTTGCGCGGCCGGGGGCCGGGGGCCGGGTACGGGACGCCCCGCCGGTAAAGGCTGGGGCAGGCTCCTGCGACGCCGGGCGGCTTTGGGGACGTTGCCGCCCCGGGAGGCGCGTCTCCCCGACACCCACCCCAGCTCGGGTCGGAGGGGCGCGCGTTCCTTTCCCCGCTTGAACTCGTCTCCGCGCTCCCCCACCGCCCTCTCCACCCGCTCCGGACGCCCCACACCGCCCCGTCGCGACCCTGGGGGGGGGGTGGCGGTGCAGGGGGCTTTGCGGAGGGCTGCCCTCCCATCGCAGATCCGCGGGGCCAGGAACTCGGGGGTCATTCTCCTACCCCCACCTCCCGCTCCACTCAGCCTCCCAGACGGGCTTGGGAAGCACCGGAGTGGGGACTGGGGGGAGTCCCGTGGGTTCCTGGGAAGCTGCACGCACCCCGAAGCCGGCCGGGGAACCCTTGGTATCCTGTCCCCCTCCTGGAATAGGATGTGGCCAGAGGGACACCAAGGCAGGCGGGAAGATGGGACAGCTGCCACACTCGGCTTTGGGAGTCTGGGAGGACATGGCTCAGCACGAGGCTCTTGGGAACTGGGGAGGGGGCTTGGTTCTCCGGAGGCAGGTCTGAGTCCCTTCCTCTGTCCTCCTGAGGCAGCCAGGGCTGGAGGGAGTGTCCCCGAGGCAGGCATATGGTAGGGCTCAGGGGACAGCTGCCTGACGGGGTTTGCTGGGTAGTGGTGGTGCTGGCCCCACAGGACCCAGTGCCGCTGGCATGGTGTGGCTCCAGGTTGTGTGTGGGACCCTCCAGTGTGAGTGGACCTCTTCCCCAAGGTTAAACCTCCTCCACGCATGTAGATCTCTTCAAATGCACTTGGCACGTGTGGCTCAAGGGTGATGGCAGTGGACATCAACAGACAGAACAAGCCACTTGCTTACTTGGCTGAGGCAGGGTCCTCTGGGGAGAAGACCCACGTCCTTCCCACTTTCGAGGCAAGGTCTCAGGGTATTCTCACTCTTGCTTCTGTGTCACCACTCCAGCCACCATCTGAAATTCCCTGGGGCCTACCTACCTTTGATCCCTAGCATATTGTCCCCCTCCCCAGGATGTCCCTCTGTGAGGGTCTCACTGGGAGGTCTGGCTGCCTCCCCGACTTCTGGGGAGTGTCTGTCACACAGTAGGCCTTCAGTAAATAGTTGCAACATAAACATGTTAATTTGCAATATAGGGACGTTGGACGGGGCCTTGGGATGACAGGCCAGTGGTTTCTTGGGGTGCTGTGTTGTCCCCTGTCTTGCTTCTGGGGCTGCTGACTGAACTTTCCTGGGACTTCACCTGCTATATGCTGGCCCCTTGTCAAAGACATGACGTGTTTGAGGAGGGTCCTGCCTTGACCAGTTCACCCCATCAATTCATTTCTGGGGTGCATTCAGGACACGAGTAGTCACTGTGGCGTGTCACAACACTAACAGGAGAAATCAGCCTCAAAGCCATCTTGGCTCACGTCCCTGCTTCTACCAGCCCGGCCCTCACCTCCCCCACGGAGGCCTCATACACCGGGCGACAAGGTCCCTCTGCACCCTTTGGAGCCGAGGTCCCCGTAATTCTTTCTCCAAGTTCAAGAATCTTGTTTCTGAGCTTCAGGAGACCTTCCCTGGGGACATGTGGCCTGTGCCTCTGGCCAGGTTTCTGCTCTGCGTGGAGACCAGCCTTCTCCCCACGCACACTTGGAAACACAGACTGTGTCTTGTCAGTGACAGTCCCAAGGGTCCTGTCCCTGCCTCGGTGGCATGTCCCAGCCCCACACTGGCCAGCCGGAGCCTGTGAATTATTGCCAGTCTCTCCTGACCACTCCTGAAGGTCACAGTCCTGATGCTTGCTGTCATTTCCCCGTAGCTCACGCAGGCTCCACTCGGGATGTTCAAACCTGTGTACGGCCCTTAAAAAAAGTGTCAGTTGAAAATATCGAAGAACAAATGTTGGGGAGCACTTATGGAACCCTCTGCGCACCCCAGGCCCTGTGGGGACATCTCCCCTGCAGTCTTACTAAAATCCCGGCCACCACCCACCTCAGGGGCAGGCAGATCTAGGGGCCACCTCTCAGGTGAGAGACTTGGGACTCAGGGGCTTCTGGAAAGGGATCCTCTATCTTCTTTTCAGGGGCAGAAAGAAAGCCCGGAGAAGTGACGTGGGAAGAGAGTGGATAGTCTGAGGTCAAGGTGGCATCTGGGGTAGCTGAGACGAGACCCCTGTCCTCTGTGAGTCCATCGTGGCTGGTTAATTCATTTCCTGGGCAAATAAAACGAACCCACGTTTCTCTCATCCCTCCCAGAAGAATCCCGATTTTCCTCCCCGGGGCCTGGGACCCCGTCAGGGGCTTGTCTTGTCCTTGCTGGTGAGAAATCGGGGTGGCCTGCTGCTGCTGACCCCGCAGCTCCCAGATGCTCCCCGAATCCTCCACCTCTGGGCCTGAAAGGGTGTCCAAGTACCTGGCCTCAAACTTTTGTTGCCATGACAACCTGTCTTCTGGGTTCTGTGACCATTTTATTTTATTTTATTTTTTCTCCAAGAGGAAAAGCCATCCCAACATCACCCGATAAAGCCCCTGCCCTCTGCTTCCTCCCCCCAGGTCCCCCCAGGTCCCCCCCACAACAGCGGGGACCACGTCCTCCCGCCCTCCTGGAAGCCTCGGGCAAAGCTGTGTCCCTCTCTGGTTTCCACCCAATGCAGAGACGCCCCGGCCGCAGATCCAGCCTCTCGGTGGGTGACAAGCAGCCGCTCCAGGGCTTGCTCGGCCACTTCTCTGTGTCTCATTTGTCCCCACCGAGGTCACTCCCCCCCACCACCACCCAGGGCGGCCCCCCTGCGACGCCCCCTTCCCACACCCCAAGCCGCAGCCTTGGCAGAGGAGGCCTCGTCCTGAACAGACCCACTGTGGCAGCCGGGCACAAAGGAGCCCTTTCTCCTCCGTGTCCCCGCCCAGATGGGGGGGTGGCCAGGCCTCTGCAGAGTCGCCCCCAGGCCTCCCCGGGAGGGCGGAGGATGAAGTCCCGGGGCGGAGGGGGCGGGGTGGGGGCGCTGGGTGTGTTTGAGCCTGGGGGAGGCCTGGAGAGAGGACGAGGGGGACAGGTCACAGGTGGGCCGCGGGTGGGAGGGACGAAGTCCCAGGAGGGTCCCATGTCTGGGACCCCACGTGCCCCCGCCCAGAGAGGCCCCATCCAAGGTCCCGGAGACCAGGGAAAGGGCAGGTTTGGGGTCTGACACTGGAGCCCCTCCCCCTGGGGGATGGGTGGGTGGGTGTCCCCCCGGGGACAGTGCAGGCAGCTCTCCGGCCACCCGTGCCCTAGTCCCAGTCACCCGCCTCTCTCCCCTGGACCCTCAGAGGCCTCCCCGCCTCTGCCTGTGCCCGGCCCTGCTCGGGGTGGGTTCTCGCCCGGCATCAGAGGCTCCCCAGGGCCTCCCCTGTGCCCAGCGCCCTCCCAGGGTCCTTCCTCCCACCCAGAGCCCGAGCCAAGGCCCTCTCTGAACTCGTCTCCGCTGCCCCCAGGGTCCCTGCGCTCCTGAGTCTCTGGCCTCCCCCGGCTCGAGGCCCCCTCTGGCCTCAGGGCCTTTGCACTGGCTGTTCCCACTGCTCCTCCCCCAGACCCACCCGAGACCATTTCCTGGAACTTTAAAAGGTCTGGGCTCAGTTTTCTCTGCCTGATTCAAAATGAACCCTGCCCCCCTATGAGTCCTGCTTGATTTTTCTCCTGGCACTTCCTGTCCTTGACCCCGTACCCACGTCACTCCTCTGTGTTGTCCACCGGCTCCGTGAAGGTGGGGATTGATCTTTATGGGCATTGTTTGCTTAGAACACTGGCACATAGTAGGTGCTCCATAAATCTTTATGGATGAGTATTAGCTGTCGTCACCGTTGCCGTTGTGTGTTGGTGGGACATTGGGCAGCCTTCGTGTTGGGAGCATCTCATGGGCAAAGACTTGGACTTTGGAAGCTGTTGCCATGAGCCCTGGACAAGTGTTATTTGCTGTCATTCCGATAGTGGCAGGTGCCATGGTTATCAGCCCCTTTTGCTGCAGAGGAAACAAGGCACAGAGAGGCAAAGCAACTTACCCCAGGTCACACAGCAGGCAAATGGCAAACCTGGTGTGTGTGCCCAGAGGCTGCTGTGCTGCTTGCGCACTGACCCTGGCCTGACGCCTCAGTCTCCCTGGGCCCCTCCAGCTAGTCCTGCTGGAAAGGCGCTGTGCAGGGACCCACGAGCCTGGGCGCGAGTCTAGATTCTGCTGCCCACTTGCCGGGTGGCTTCTCAGAAGTCCCACTTCTTTTTTTTTTTTCTGGACTTTTCTTTCCTCAGGTGTAAAAATGAGTCTTTATTTATTTATTTTTAAATTTTTTTTCCTGCAAGTTGAAGATGGCAGAGCGCTGTCCTTGTGACCACAGGCTTTGGAGTCAGGCCCGTCTGTGTACAGTCCCCACACCACACTCAACTGCTGTGTGGCCTTGGGTAGGAGATCACCCTCTCTGGGCCTCAGTTTCCTTGGCTGGGGCATGAGGACGGTGCTGTTTGCCGGGTCTTACAGGAGTGGCTGCTGTCCCGCGGGGGCATCCGCAGTTTGCCCACCCGCCCCCTCCTCACTGCTACCTGCAGGTGCTCAGGCCTCGAGACGTGGGTCCTGCAGGACACGCTGCCATCTGACGTCTGGCTGCTGGGGATCCCACCCGTGCCTCCCCAGAGTCCAGCCACCTGACTGTGTCCTGACAGCTCCGCCCATGTCTGACCCCAGCACCTCTCCCGGGCCTCTCTGGGCCCCTGCTTCTGCCCTCGGTCTGTTCTCCACCCCACAG